TTTTTATTGGTAACATATTTTTTATTGGTCACAGGTTAACCAATTTAATGGTCACAATTAACCAAATAATTTGTTACCACTTCTAACACTTGTGACCACCACCTTTACCATCGCCTCCAACACCACCACTATCACTACCACCGTCGCCACCAAAACCACCACCACCGATTCTAGCCCAACTACAAGACCATAAATCCCGCTTGTGACAAAAGCACCAACCTAGCCACAAATCCAAGCCCTTATCCAATACGCCTCTCACTTGTCGACGGCCAATACTTGTATCCTCAACCGTCACCTCCAAATTTCACCACCACCTCTACATCATCGACCTTCACTGATCGCCACGCTCCAACGGTCCTTTCTCCGCCTCACGTTAGTCTGTCACTGACTTTTCTTCTCCAACTGCAGCATGCACAACCCAGCTCCATCCGTCGACCAAGTTTCCATGCATACGCTCCTTACAGCACCACAACACTACTGAAAAATCCCCGAACTCAACGTCACTGCTGCCGCCACCGCAACACCACCACCAAAAAATCCCTAAACTCGACGTCGTCGCGTTGCCACAACCACCTTAAATCAACCATTTCCTTCACCTCTACGAAAAACAACTAGCAGAGCACCGCTGCCTAAAAGCACCGCAAATGCCACCACCACAACTGCACACAACCAACAAAACATCAATCCAAAATATTCAACACCAGATCGAGATCAAATCTTAACCAGATTTTCCCCAAATTTTTCGGTGTGAGCGGCTGCAATCGCGATGGACGTTTTCTTCATAGAAGAGAGAGAGATGTAGAGAGAGAATATTGGAAATTAATTAGGGTTCATGTGTGTAATAGAGTATATATATTTAGTAAAAAATTTTATTTTAAGAAAGTGTTAATTAAAATAAAACCTCTGATTTTTAAAAGATTAAAATATCCATCTTATTTTAGAATTGTGAGTTTTTAAAGTATGGAATTGTATAATTGCCACATAATACAATATTATTTCCTAAATCCAAAATCTTTTACTTTCCTCCTTCTCCTCCTTTTTTTTTTCTTTGGGTCTTATCTTAAATCATAATCACTAATTTTGAGCATCTCCAATATAATCATGGATTGTTGAAAAAATGTATGACAGGAGCAAAGCCAGGGAGAGTAGAGTTGCATGGACAACTTTTATAAAAATTTTATTGTGAGAACATAATTGAAAATCTTATATAAAAAATCTTCAAAAATTTATTGCAAAATCTTAGATTTTAAATTTAGTATGGGGGCAATGAACGTAAAACCGTCCACGGCTACACAAGCAAAAATAAACTTTATTTAAAAAAAGTTATCTTTAAGTCAACATGGACTCTATCAAATTTATATGATGAAGAAAAAAAATAGACAATTTAGTTTTGTCCAAATTCAGAAGCTCTATTAGATGAAATCTTGTCTTGTTTTTATTTGAATAAAAATAACCTAAATCGCAAAACATAAAGTGCACAGTCTAATTTTTAGATTTGAGTGCTTATTTTTATCAGACATAAATTAATTGCCACAGAGATCAAAAATCTTTCAATTTTCGTGCCACCTAGCAATACATAAATATAGCCCAATTTTTGTTTTTTCTTAAAATAGTTATTTAATTTAGATAAATTACGAATAAGTTACTTTTTTTGAAACAATTTTCTTTATATTGATTGTATTATAATAAATGTAAAAACTAAAATTATACAAGAAATCACACTCTTGAAAAAAATGCTAAATATTACTTATCTTTAAATCTATTATCTAGATATTAAGATGGCTTTTTAACTTTCGTCTTTCTCTTTTGGATAGATATATATTAAATCGAAATTTTATGTACCAAATATTTCTACACTATAGCTTCTGATATTTTTATTTAGTTGATATACATAGTCTGTAAGAAAAAACTGTAAGGATCAGTTTTACACGATTATCGTGAGTAAAGCTTTTAACAACAAAATTTTCCTAAAAAAAGAGAAAAAAAAATGATAAAGCTGCTACCAAAAGGCTAATATATATTTGGTTTTAAAAAAAAAAAAAAAAAAAGGTGTTATAAATATTAAATTAATTGTTTGGCGGCAACTAGAAAACTACTTTTAATTTCTTAATTGTACATATAATTATTTAACTAAAAATTATTTCTTTAATATATAAAAAAATTTAAAATTAAATTCTTATGACAGAGTTTTTTAATATAATTTGTATTATTTAAAATTTATTTGTTAAAGACAATAAAATATGACAATTTAATAAATAAAACATTGTAAAAAGTATGAAATACTGTCGAGCATAATTTCTTGTATCATCTTAAATTTCCTTTTTCTTTTTTTTCTTTTTTTTTTTTTTTAACTTCATCTTAAATTTCATTTTTAAAAATATTATTGGGCATCAACAAATGGAAAAAAATAATAAATAAAAATAGTGTTAATTAGCATATAACGTCCTTATCTTTCACTTTTATTATGAAAAACGTCATTACCTTTCATTTTTGACATTTTAACTCTTATTTCCAGATTTCATTACATAAAAGGTCTTTTTTATCTATTTTTTCAAATAAAATCTATGAAATGATGAACATATCCTTCTATTTAAATAAAACAAAAAGAAAAAAGAAAGCACTAATTGTAACAATAGTCCCAAATTTTTTTAAAAATTGTGAACGGATCCCAAATAAATTATTAAAAGGTTAAATAACACATAATGTTCATACATTTCACTATTATTGTGAAAAACATACATACATTTAATTTTTATTTTTATTTTTTGATATCTTCACCTTTAACTGCACAAACTATTTTTTCTATCCATTTTCATCCAAGTTCTCAATAAAAACTGTAAAATAACGAATATACCCTTCTATTTAATTAAAAAATGAAACGAAAAATAGATCAATGGGTGAGAAAATTACAATTTTTTTGGTAATATGCTGTAAATTAATATATATAATGTAGATTTCAGCTTTTCGTAAAAGCTAAAATTTGTGCTTTTGAAAACGTTTCAAACTGGAGATTCTCTTAAACAACTTTAAAAAGTTGATTTTTTTCATTAAGTATTTCTCTGAATCGCCAACAAATAATAGCATTTTTATAAAGAAGTGATTTCGACCTTCTAAAGAATGAAGAATATACCATTTATTATACTCATATTTCTTAACTTTTTGAAAATTGTGGAAGCATTTTATTGCCAAACTAAATTTCATGAAGACGAATTACTTTTTTCCCTTTTGTGTGATTGATTTCGTTCCGATAAAATCAGTCACGTTTTGTACATCTATAAATAATAGTCTTGGGACCATATAAATTCTATTAATTAATTGATAAATTAATAATTTATTAAATTATATAGTGTATTTACAATTCAGCAAACATATATTTAATCAACTGAAAATTCATTGTATTTTACCTATCTAATCAATTGAATATGGATTAGGTGTATTTTTAAAATGATTTTTAATTATTTAGATGGACTTCTCTCTGTCTATTCATATTTTGATAGATATTTATTTGTAACTTCCTGGAACAAATATTCTATATAGCTGCATCCGATAATTTATTTTGTTAATGTAACACAAAATTAATGGGAGAAAATGAAAAATCTAGAAATAGTGAAGCACTCCTCAGAACCTAATTTATCATATCTCAACAGAGTGTATGCAAAAGAGCAATTATTCACCTTTCTTTTCACTTTCTCTATTAACAATATCTACCTATAAAGCATAGATCACTTTTGAGATAATTTTGAAAATCGGAGACATTTTTTCCATTGTTGTCAAAAATGGCCATCCAATAGAGTGGAAGGTAACAATTTTGGTAAACAAAGGCAAAGTGGAGAAGGCATTTTCCTTGTTTGGGAATGACTTTTGTTACTCTATGCATTTCTAGTCCAAGTTAGGGTACTAAGTATACAATTCGATACAATGCATGAGGACTCCTTTTATTTTTACACATTGATGAAGAAAAGCATTCGAGTAAAGGGCATTGAATAAGTATTTGATTCTTGCACGAGTTTTCTCGTAAATAATTTTACAATGTTTTTCAAGTTAATATGGAAAAGGGATCGAAAAGTATTTTGTACGTAAATATTTCGACTTAAACATTTTCACTGAGCCGATCACCTTCGACGACACGAATAAAATAATGTCATCATACATTTCTTTTTAATTTTTTTTTTTTTTTTACATTCGAGTGTTTGTGGACATAGTGAAAGTGCAAACTGAAATTGATGTTTTGGGTGGGTGGTAGGGGGCAAGTGAGGGGAACACAATTTCGAAATTTGATCCCCTCGTGGCCTGAAATCCATTTATTAATCATTGTTTCCCCCACTAAACTCAACAAAATTTTCATATACACTTCATGCTTGGCAAAATTTAAACGCCTCTTTTTCATTGGTTTCATGGTTTACACCACCATTCCTCACTTTACTATAGTCAACATAAATTAGTGGAGTCACTATCAATAACAAATAATAAATTATTTTTATGTAAACTTGGCACGTAGCTTATTCTACTTAATAATTAGGATGGACGGGGTGCGGGAAGCCAAGTGAAGCTAGTTTTATAAAACCAATCACTATATAAGTAGCTAGCGAAGAGTACTCTTCGATTTTTCCGACTTATATTGCTAAGCTAAGGTCCCGTGTCTCTAAGTCAGCCCATGTTTGTTTTGAAGAGTAATCATGCACCAATGCATGGGCATATGGTCTTCCTTTTCCGTCAAAGTTTTATGGGCGTTGCCCCATTCTTTAATTAGATGTTTGAACATGAGCTATACTCGACGAATTTATTCTTTTTTAAGTCGAAAAAATATAATTTCTCACAAGTTTTTAAAAGAGGCAAAAGTTATAAAGTCGTAATGAATTGGCAGTGGACGGCTCTTGTCTTGGGCCAGCCTACAAATCCCGTTTGAACGGTACAACGTGGGGTTCTTGTAAGGAATTTATGTGGCAAGTTTTGCCTTTAACAAGGTGTTTTTTTTTTTTTTTTTAAATCCTATTCCAAACCTCAGTACATGAATCCAGTTCATGCCCCGCCATGTCAGGATAGTAGCTCCGCCTTCCGCCGCCACTATCTCCACCAATACTTGCCGATGGTGCTATCATTTTCGGTGTTGACTAATTTCATAAATCTAACACTAGTGATTTATAATTATAAATTTCTAGGCACCATTTATTTCTTATGACTAAAAAATTTGATTCTCATTATATGATTGGTAAGTTTAAAATCAAGCTGAATAAAACTATGACATTCAATTTTATTTAGTTCAACAAATTTGTAAAAAAATCTATTTTATTTTGAATTTCAATTATATGTTGAAGTAAACAAACCATAAAGATATTTTTAAGGTATTTCTTCTTTAATTATATCCAGTTCATCTTATCAAAGTACATTTCGATATCACAAAGCATGTGTTATTACGGACTATCCATTCTCCAAGTCCGAAAATAAAAACACAAATAATTTATTACATATCTCATTTTTCGAAAAATATTTCTTCAAATCAAGTAAAGGTAGATAATTTTTGAAGGAAATAATTAAAGTACTCTTACACATAGTTTCGCATGATCATGAAATTTAGTGTTATAGAAGCGTTTGGTGGTGCTAATAAGAAACATCGATTTGCTCCACAAATCAAATAACGTAGACAAATAAAGTGTTAAGACTCGTTGGAGCTAAATAAGAATATGAATGTTTGATTGAATTTAGTATCACGTCAAAAATAAAAATATATATATAACATCATTGAAACTAACGGAGCTAAAACAAATTGGATCAATCGTGATCTATTGAGAACAAATTAATAATGTGATACCACATCTAGAACATAAAATGGGAATATAATTGAGACAAACATTTTTATTAAAAAAAAAAAAAGGAGGAGTCATTCAATTTGATCGTAAAATAGATTGGTTTGTAAAATAAGTATCAAGTAATTTAACTAAAATGGCTGAAAAAATGTAAACATTTGCTTATAAGTAAATTTCAACCTTAGCTAATCATGCAATACTTGTCCTTAGAATCGAATCTTATGTGGAAGACAGGAATAGCGAAAAAGAAACAATGCTCTCTCATGCATACATAATTTATATCTATATATGTTGCAGAAAGTACTCCTCCTTCTTATTAACTCTCTGCAACACACTATAAAGAAATAAGAAAGAAAACTTCTGTCGTCCCTTAAACTTCTCTACTTTTGAGATCTCTCTCGCCGCCTTTTTTGCAAGTAAACTTGAACACAATTTTAACTCATCTTAATTACTTGTAGCTTACACCAAATTTGCAGCAATTTCTGGGTTGTGCATTGAATTCTCACTCTTTCTTTTTCTCTGATTTATTTGTTTAGTTTTCTGTCAATTCTTGGAAATGAACAAATATTAAACCCCCAGCTGCCTATATATCCCTTGCTTTCTTTGGGTTGTGTTTTTCCATAGTCTGAGATCTGGGTTCGAGAAAAAGACTTGTCGAAACAAGGTATTCAGAAAGTAAAAGTAGGATTTTTTTTTTTTTTTTTTGTGGGTTTTTTGATATGAATTCCGGGGTAGGGTGGGGTGGGGTGAGGTGGGAGTTTTACTGTTTACTTTGTCTTATTGATTGTCGTTTCTTGTGTTTGCAGATCTGCTGGAATATTAGGCTTCTCTTTATTGTAAAAAAATCGAAGAAAATGTTGCATCAGAAGCAAGCAGAAGAAGCTATTGTCACTACCTTCAACGAGACTGAACACGACGGCGTTGGTGGCAAGGATGAGGAGCAGCCCATTTTCAGTGTCAAGAGCTTCCTCTGGCACGGCGGCTCAGTCTATGATGCTTGGTTTAGTTGTGCTTCAAATCAAGTATACACCTAACCATTTTTACCTTATGAATTTTAATCGAATTAAAGATTTTTATGAACTTACATATTTTATTTGATCATTTTGTTGCAGGTAGCTCAAGTTCTATTAACATTGCCATATTCATTCTCTCAACTGGGAATGCTATCTGGAATTTTGCTTCAAATATTCTATGGCATAATGGGTAGTTGGACAGCCTACCTCATTAGTGTTCTCTACGTCGAATATCGAAGTCGAAAGGAGAAAGAAGGTGTAAGCTTCAAGAATCATGTCATTCAGGTTCGTGTCTATATGACATTTTATTTATGAATATTGTGCACGTCTCAGACTCGACCTATTTGAATCGATTCTTTGTCCATTCCAGTGGTTTGAAGTGTTGGATGGATTATTGGGTCCTTATTGGAAAGCAGTGGGTTTGGCCTTCAACTGTACTTTTCTACTCTTTGGATCTGTCATCCAACTCATAGCTTGTGCAAGGCAAGTTAAAAAAAAAAAAAAAAAAAAATGTTGAATCTTTATTCTTTTAGTTTTTACTTATTTTAATGTTAGTGCCAGCTTAATTCGAATATAACAACGTTAAAGTTTGATTGTTACAGTAATATATATTACATAAATGATCGATTGGACAAGAGGACATGGACTTACATATTTGGAGCATGCTGTGCCACTACAGTTTTCATTCCCTCTTTTCACAATTACAGAATATGGTCTTTTCTAGGTCTTGGAATGACAACATATACGGCTTGGTACATGACCATCGCGGCCTTTGTTCACGGCCAGGTAATATTTTAAGTAATCTTTTTACTTAAGTAAATGTTTCATATTCGAACAAAGTTTATTTTGAAGTAGATTTAAGTACTTTTGTGAGAACTAAGCTTTATAAGCAAAAAGAAAGTAACTTGCAGAGTAAATTTGACTTGTTTAATTTAGGGCTTGTTTAGTAGGATTTTTTTCTTACTTCTATTTTCATGTAGAACAGATTCGTGAGAAAGCTATCTCAGGAACCGTCTGATAGGACTTCTTAGATTAAGAATCTACATATGTTCTATTTGAATAATCTTTTGAAAGTGCTGTCAGAAGAGCTTTTAGAATCCTAGCATTAGTTAGTTTTCTTTACAAAAATGCAAAAGTCTTGCCAAACTGGCATTTTACTCTCAGAAAAAGCTTCTGACTTGTCAAAAATCATGCCAAACGGACCTGTTAGTAGAGTTTTAATGAAACCCAAGAATGGAAGCAATTAATCCTATGTTTTTGTATTGATTTGGATTGGTTTTGACAGGTTGAAGATGTGCAACACTCTGCTCCAACAAACCTAGTTCTATACTTCACCGGCGCCACCAATATTCTATACACCTTCGGTGGACATGCTGTTACTGTGTAAGCTTCTTTTTTTATTCAATTTGACGGATTATTTATCTGTAAATATTATTGTCTTGTACATTGCTTCTATATGGCATCTTCTTCGCAGCTTTAAAAAATTGACCCTAGCATTCATCCGGAAAAGATAAATGGTAAAAGTTAATAGTCAAATAGATGAACTACTACAAAAGTTAGATAAATAAATAAAAATAAAAATTTATGTCTTTTTCTAGAAATGACTGGCTGGTTTTTATGGGTTCATCGGTCTATTCGGAAGTTAATTTTTAATATATTTCAAATTTTAGGTTGTTTAACATATAGGCAGACCATTTCCCTATAATCATGGCTTGTCTTGTCTGTTTTTATAACATTAAACCCTATAAATCAAGAGGAGATGACGTGAACTAATATGATATTGATAATATGAGGTCGTGTTTATAAAAGATAAATAAATAAATTCATTGTCGTATGGTTTAGGTCAATTTTGATGAGTCACACACTAGATAACATAGAGCTGGCGGAGAAAGCGAGGTTTAACAAACAACCGGTGGCTGTTCGTTCTGTTCAAACATTCAAATTTCTCATCAAAAAAAAAAAAAAAAAAAAAAAAAAAAAAAAAAAAAAAAAAAGAAGCATCACATCTTAAAAGTGTAGTGACAAATTATTTGAAAGTACTTGTTCATCAAACAATAATTGCATAACATGACAAAGGAACACTTCAAAATTATTCAAATTCCTTGTTCTTTTATGATATATGTTGGTTTTTCTTATCTTGAATTAAATGGCCTTGTTCCCTTCAATAATTCAATGAATAAATTTCTAATCATTTGAAAAATTTAACAGGGAAATTATGCATGCAATGTGGAAACCTCAAAAGTTCAAGTATATTTACCTATTGGCTACATTATATGTTTTCACTCTAACTTTGCCATCGGCTTCCGCCGTCTACTGGGCTTTCGGCGATCAGCTCCTTAACCACTCCAACGCCTTCTCACTCCTCCCAAAAAATGGTTGGCGCGATGCTGCCGTTATTCTTATGCTCATTCACCAGGTTCATTAGTTATTTCCGTGTAACGTGTAAAAAAACGTTGTTAATCTTTTTATTTTGTTCCAAAGTGATCACTAAGATTGCTTGATTTCAGTTTGTTCATTCAGTTAAAATCAGTTAATTTTCTAAGACATGTCCAATACAAAAGACCTCAAAGTGGAACAATCAATTTGGAATAAAATAACTTCACTATAAATTAAATGACTAACAATGTTCAGTGGTACTACGCGTACATGATAGGTTTATATAATGGTAGTTCTACATGCATGCATGTGGTGAGAAATGATTGGGTCATAATTTTTTCAACAAAAAAAAAAAATTCCTCGCTTTCTTTCTAACACCTCATCTGTAGGTAAATCATTATTTAACTGTTTATGTACAAGTAGCATTATTCAACGTTGTTTCCTTTTGTGTTACAAGTAGCATTATTCAACGTTGTTTCCTTTTGTGTGTGTTCTTGCACTACTTGGGTAATATAAATTGCTTTTATTGTCAAACATATACTGAACTAACGATACTTTTTTGTGTTTTGAACAGTTTATTACATTTGGATTTGCTTGCACACCATTGTACTTTGTGTGGGAGAAGGTGATAGGAATGCATGACACAAAAAGCATATGTTTGAGGGCAGTTGCAAGGCTGCCAATAGTGATTCCAATCTGGTTTTTGGCCATTATTTTCCCATTTTTTGGCCCCATAAACTCTGCAGTTGGAGCACTTCTAGTGAGTTTCACAGTCTACATTATCCCATCTCTTGCCCATATGCTTACTTACCGAAAGGCCGCTGCTCGTCAGGTAACTTTAATTTCGATTGCACTTTATTTTACTACAAGTGTATCATAACTATCTAGTATAGTATCGCATAAAACTTGATAGGAGAATGCACACAATATTATCGTGTCATTCTCATCAAACATTTCATAACGTTATAAGAAAGAAAAGTATGTAATAGTTTTTGTTGATTGTCGTGTCCAATCTTGCATACTAATAAGCATGTCATAAATGAAATACCATAGAGATCTAAATGTTTATCCACATGAAACTTTACACGATTTTAGCTCTATAAATTTCTAGTTTGAACATGAATGTAGTATAGTATGGCGTGGATGAAGATTTAGGAGGCACGACCTCTTCATGTTGTTACTTGTGTTTTTTGGTATGTTGGACTAGCCAACTAGGCAGATTTTATTTAGAAAAAATTCATCATGTCTCTTTTCCTTGATCTCATCTATTTAGTCGAGTGTAACAAACATGTGTATGCCCATGCAAGTGTAAGTTTAACATCTAGACAAAAGATAGACCTTATGCACTAAAATAATATATCAAATCCTTCAAATTAGGCCGTCTTGTAGTTTTTGATTTCTCGTATATTTGTTTAGAGTGTTAGATTGGATTGGTGTCAATTGAAATTGACTTGTGCTACTTGTTTGTGTTGATAATTGCAGAATGCTGCAGAAAAGCCTCCATTTTTCATGCCAAGCTGGACAGCCATGTATGCATTGAACATATTTGTGGTTGGTTGGGTTTTGGTGGTCGGGTTCGGGTTTGGAGGATGGGCAAGCGTGACAAATTTTGTCAAACAAGTCGACACATTTGGGCTCTTTGCTAAATGTTATCAGTGCAAGTCTCCAACACTAGCGCATCAAACTCCGGTAGCACCCCACCACTAAGGACTTACACGGAGCTAGTGACAAACCACCACCATCTAGGGAGTCACATATCTTCGAAATTTACCAATCAACACTTTCCTTTCATCCTTCTCTCTCTCTCTCTCTCTCTCCATAGTTTGTAGTATACAAGGGGAGATAGCAATATTTTCCTAAAACGTGAGGTGTGTTTATCTTTTCTTTTTCGAATAGTTTTACAATTTTCTTGAAATACTAGATGAGATAGTTTTGAATTGTGGTGATTCCTTTGCTGTCAAAGCATAGGCTTATTTAGTCAATATAAGTTAGATCTTTTCCAAAGTTTTCCTTTGCTTAGATTGAATATAATATTGTAACATAAGACAAGTTGTGGTTGATATTGTTGCTAGCAAATTGTAATGTCATTGTTATTTTCTATGTTTTTAAATACTCTATTTATCCAATTGTAGCAAATCAATATTCCAACTTAAACTGTACAAAAAGTAGCTTATGTGATTTTATATAATTTGAAAATTCAATTAGCACCTTTCCGTGCAATCTATAGTATAGTCGTCTTGACTGTGTCTAATAATTGAAGCTTAGATTATATAAGTCTGACCGGATTTGAATTTGGATGTGGAACTAAGCTCTACAAGAAGGAATTCAATGTAACTTGTAGAATCTAATTATTATCGTTATGTGAAGTACGTACACGGATTGAGATTGGAAAACATGGTGTGTCATTTCTCTTGTAATCTTCTTTTTATAAAAGTGAAATATTGTTACGACAAAAGATAATGTAGAAACTCTAATTTTTATACATTTTGCGCGTTGTTATATGTTTTTTTTTTTCTGCGATTTTATTTTTATTTCTCTTGGTATTATACGTGACACAAAATCTTATCCTGTCCAATAATCAAAAACTCAAGATTAAAGATCAAGATCCAAAATCAAACCATCAAGAATTCTCCATTTAACTATTGATATTGTGAGATTGACCTTAAAAGACATCTTTTGACTTAGACATACTCTCTTTTTAAGGAATGGGCTGTGGGCCCAAACATTTTCTCCTTTAATAATCACGTGCAACTCATACCTTGTCTGTAAGAACATGCATGAACCTACTCTGTCCCTTAATCTTTTCCCCTTAGATCAAAGTAGAATTACAAACTTTATTATTTTCTTGAATTTAAGGGTTTGAACTATTTTCTTGTTTATTCTGATGTTTATACCAAATAAATTGAATGATAAACATGACAATGTAATAATTTTGCAATCTAATAAAGTTAAAAAAATAAAAAATAAAAAATATCCAAAACTACGTTTCGTGCATGTTTATAAAATATTTATAAAAACTAATTAATTTTTAATTCATACATTTCAAAAAATTTACTCCATTTATTCATCACTCATTTTTATTTATTTATAATTTTAACCATATATAAACATTGACTTAAAACTTAGAACTGACTTTGGTGGTAAAGGAGTGATAGGTCCAATTTCATATCCCACCAGTGATCCCATTGAGGTGCGGGTGGACACTTCCTCTGCACCCTAGACCTGTTTTGTCACTCTCTCTCACACACACATATATATTGATAAGTGTGTTTTGCACACTTAATTAGGTCACAAACATAATTTAATTACGAATAAAATGATTGAATTGTGACTTAATTTCGTTACATTTGTGAATTGTAGGTAATAACGATGAACATGGTGAAATACATGAGAAAAGAAGCGAAAAAAGATTAAAATGATACAAAGTGAAAGTTCAACGACCAAGGTGCAATTATCCAAAAGTTGACCCGATGAACAAATCAAGAAATTGAGTTTGCCAAATACAAATTGATCACATTTTGGGATGATGGAATGTGAAGAATGAAGAAAAGATGCAAAGAAGTGGAAGATTCAAATAGAGGCACCAATTTGCAAGAAATGAAAGTTGAATTCTACCATGCGGTCGCATGCTAGAAATGTCCTGCGACCTCACGAAGGGATGCAGGGAATTCAATTGAAAATAGAGAATAACCATGCGGCCGCACGGATTAAAACCATGCGGTCGCATGGTACGTTTCTGGCACGATTTTTTTCTTTCTTTATAAGATTGAAACACCTTTGATAACCTAATTTTTCACGGGATATAAATATCTAAAACATTCCAGAGACGAGGAGAACGCAATTGGAGGCCGAAAAATACTTCTTGGAGAGGATTTGAACACAAAAACAAAGATTGGCACAAAGAATTTCAAGATTTATTCAAAATTTCATAACCCGGTGATATCTTTTATTCAAATTATGATGTATTTTGTTATTTTAATCGTGCTAGGCTAGATTTTTATTATGCTAGGAGATCAAAGAACCATGTGATTTGAATTTTAATATCCTCATTTTGCAATTTGATGTTAAGACACAATTTTTATTGTTTTGAATGATTTATATGCAATTAATGTTTCCGCAATTAAGGGCTCGTAATTGTGTGAATTTAAGTGATTTATTCTTGTATTCGAGAGAATTGGAATAGATTTGACATAATATAAATTATCGTAGGATCCAATAGTGGATAGAAATATACCGTCATGCCCTACGTGAATTTTTAGGTGTTCATAAAACCGCATGCATTTTTACATATGCTCTTGTCATAGAAATATAGACCGGTGGTATGTACAACCTACTTACTCTTTCTCGAATTAACCGTAGAGCTAGAATCAATCGCAGTGACCCATCAGATAGAAGACAAAGAATTCCAGTATGTGCCGTGCTTTGTCACGAGAGAGAGTATTGGATAGACGTAGGAACATTGATTCGTCACAATTGAAATGTGTTGTCATGTTGTGAAACTATGGTTTAAAGTGATAATTGCATGGGAAATCGTGATCCTAGTGTGTTTAATTTCTATTGATTATAACAATACGCGTTCTCAACTTTTAGTTTTATTTTAGAGTGTTAAAATATTGTTTTGAGTTTTAATTTCAATTTACTCATTAAATTTGCGTAATTAGGGTTTCTTTTTGAAATTAGGGTTTTACTTAGGTTCACATCCACTTTGAACATCCAATTTCGATTAAGGCTACGTTAGATAAAATTTGAACTAATCACTCTATGGGACGATATTTGGACTCATTGAATCCACTTTATTTACTTTTTAACGAATCGTACACTTGCGGTGGTTTAAAATCGAAAGAAAATAATTTCGTGAACATATATCGATCAAATTAAAATATGGTTACGTATTTTCAAGGGATCATTCAAGCGTCTCATATATATTTTAGGGTTTCGTCAATTTTTGGGATTAGTCATCCAAAACACTCATTTTTTGTACTCATATTTGATATAGAAGATTTTCTCCTCTTTCGTTCATAGTGTTTTCTTTTATGTAAATATATTCTTATTTTTTTTATTGCTCATTCGCGCCTTTTCGTGACAAAACATTTCACGAATCTTAAGCAAACGTTTACTAAACACTTGACTAATTTATTTTTGAACCTAGATAAAACATATTTTCTTAAATATTCACTGTAATACAAATCAAGCCGTATTGGTTCTCTAATGAAACCCTTTGGGGGCAACAACTAGTTGATCTGGTTGGGCCCACCTAATCCATTTCTTTGTAGATACTTCTAGAAATAGTCTCATGGGCTTCTTGATTGATCAATGCTTGATGTTAGGTCCAAAAATCTGAATGAAGTCAATGCCATGAGGAGTCTTAGACTCTTAAATTAATCCGGGAAAAATCACTTCGTCAAAAGTTGTTAAAGAAATTATGAATTTATCGCCAATTCTTTCACATACAAGCCAATTTATCTTTTTTTTTTTTTTTCCCCAAAAGTTTAACTTGTTAACCCTCGAAATAAAGTACGCTAACTCATCTAGTCCTTAGCGAGATGGAAGGCAAGGTGCATAGGGAGGGGGAAAAAATAGAAGATTCGAATAAAGGTCACTAATCATTTACCATAAACATGTTGGCTCCAGGCTATCAATAAAGAGCACATGACAAATATATAAAGCGTGATTCATAATCGAATTAGATAGAAAATAGCCAACAGGAAGTCGACACCTAGCACAACACAGGAATGACAAAACTACCCCAATAGTCAAAAGGAAATTTATATATAGCCCCTCATTTTAAGAAGGTACTTAGTATGCAAGTTAAATATCTTCCTCTCAAATAGTTATTTTTCCTCTTGCTTTAATTGAAATATCAAGACTAGTGAATTTAAAAGATGAAATTCGTAATTAGATAAGAATATTTGTTGATTGTATTTAAATTGATATTCGATTGTAATTATTTTATCAATTTATATCGTCAACATAACACAAGCACAATTTTTATAGATGAGTGACTCTAGAAATTGAATTTTGTACCTTTGTTCATTTCATGTTAGACCGTATATTCTAAATTTTTAATGGTAAAAAATAGTACAAATTTATTTATTTAAATTTTCTTTATGATAGGCAGTAACATGAAAAAAAGTACTAAAAACTATGAATAAGTTAACGCCCCTTCAGTTTTTTAAGCAACTTGAATTTTATACTATTATTTGAGGCCGGCTTTGCCATTTTGGTAGTTTTAAAGCTCCAAATCCTTGGATTATCTCTTATTGATCTCATAAAAGTACACTTTTCTTCAATTCAAAGAGAATATTTTACGCAAAATATGGCTTCAGAAATAACACAAGAAGAAGATGAAGAAAACCCCTCTTATGTTGTAGACAAAGAAGCAGAAAAACAAAAGATTAGGCAGATTATAGACTACCAAAAATCCCTTTATTTTTCGTCATCGTCATCGTCTTCTTCTTCTTCTTTTTCTGCTTCGAGGAGTTCATTTTCGTCCCCTCAAAAAAACAGAAATTTATTAGGGTTGATGAAAGAAGGAAGCACCTCTCTAAGAAGATTGTTTGACATGGAACATACAAGTTTGGGAAATTATTTCAAAGATTACAGTGGATCACCAATCATTAAGCCTATTCTTTTGTGGGGAAGTGATTCTGATGATGGAATTCATGATGATCCATGGATGGAAATAAAGCAAATAAAAGGCAGTTCTGAATCAAGAATTGATGATCAAAATAGGGTGGTTTCATCAAAGGGAAGTTCTGATCATGATCAAGAGATTATTCACAAAAGAATATCAAGAATCCGTAGACGAAAGTTGACCAGGACCAAGTCTTATAAGAGATTGCCAAGATTTGTTTTGTGGCGATTTGGGGGGTTCAGATTCAGATTGAGAAAATTGAAGGTTATGATCTGTGGTAGAAAGTTCTAATATGATCAAAGTAGATTTTTGTATTAGATTCATTTAGAGTAAATTTTATTGTATGCACACACCAATTAATAGCTTGCATTGTATATTTTTGTATTAGATTCATACAATTATTCATTGAAATTTAGAGTAAATTTTATTTTGTGCACACACCAAATAATAGCTTGCATTGTATATTTTGTCAAAGT